TTGAGCAGAGAGGAAGTGGGGACTGCCGTGCTGTGTCGGGTTCTGTTACTGATGTTAGACTGAAAATACCAAGGTCCTCTTTCTTTCTCTTCCATGTGCATATGCACTTTCACAATAAACACACAGTTAAAACCTCCTGGAAAATCAAAGGTATTTTATGATCTTAGTTGTAATCTTGAGGTCATAAAACAAGCACTGCTTTCAAATGACACCTGAGTCACATATGGTTTCAACTGTTTCTACTCTTAACTCAAGTGCATGCTAAAGTACTTACTGTAGAGTAAGTAGCAACATAAAAGAGTTTCAGGGGCTTCATGGATCAGAAGAAAGGATATAAAGTGAAGCAACTTAAAAACAATTGAATTTCATATAGCAAAAATTCAAAATTCTTTTTTATCAAAAGTTTTATTTAAAAAAAAGTCTAAATCAGACAAGGCATGGTAGTACATGTCTTTAATATCAGCATGCAGGAGGCAGAGACAGACAGATCTCTGTGAGTTTAAGTCCAGCCTGGTCTACAGAGCTAGCACCAGGACAGCCAGGGCTACAAGGTGAGACCCTGTCGAAAGAAAGAAGAAAGAGAGAGAGAGAAAGAAAAGAAAATCTAAGCCAATGGTTTCTATTATAATATGCCCTTTATGCTTTATGAATGACAAACTTCAATGTAATCTGCTAAAAAAATTGGGGGGGGGGGGCAACATATAAGTACTCTCCATATGTGAAGCCCTGGCTGAGGGGTCACCTGTGAAGTGACATTTGTCAGACAATCCAACTCCAAGGAGTTTACATGACCACGACACACCATGACACTCAACGTTAACAGAGTGTGATTAAATGCCCAGCACGGAGCCCATGAAAGGGAGAAAGCACAAAGCCAGCTCCTCTAACTTCCTTCTTCTGAGAAAACTGAAGCTGACAGGAACCGCACAGCAGCGGAGGGCTGAGCTCTCCTCACTCTGCCCTGCTGCCACGGAGCCAATCTTGCCTCGCCGTTCACTATTTATTTATTTATTAATTTAGACACAGGGTTTCTCTGTGTAGCCCTGGCTGTCCTGTGTAGACCAGGTTTGCCTCAAACTCACAAGACCCACCTGCCTCTGCTTCTAAAGTGTGGGGATTAGGAGTGAGCGCCACCACGGCTTGCCTCTTCCCTATCATTTCAAATATATATATTGAGTTATAGTATTTTATGCGTATGAATGTTTTGCCTGCATGTGTGTGTGAACCCCGTGTGTGTGCCTGGTACCTACAGAGGTCAGAAGAGGGTGTTGTTAACCCTGGAACCAGAGTTAGGATGGCTGTGAGCTGCCATGTGGATGGTTGGAATGGAACCCAGGTCCTCTGCAAGAGCAACAAGTGCTCTAAACCATCTCTCTCTCCAGCCCACTTACCTATCACTTTTAATGATGGCAAATAAAGGTTAAAAATAATGTAATGTCTCCATTTCCCTATTGCTGAGATTACAGGCACATATACAACATCTGGCTGTGGCTCAGTCTTGAGTTTGCCTTTGCCATACTAAGACTGGCCTCGAACTCACAGAGATCCGCCTGGCTCTGCCTCCCGAGTGCTAGGATTAAAGGTGTGCGCCACCACTGTCCAGCAATACAATAATTTAAATGAATAGGTTTTTCTTAGATTATGAAATAAGGAAAATATGCACATACATTTTTTAAAAGCCAACTATTTATCAGATTCAGATGTAAGAGGGAAGTAGCTGAGGCACTTACTGTAAAAAGGCTCTAAGTTCTGAAGCTTCAACATTGTCCACAGGAACAAGCTCATTTGTTAGGCCCCTCGGCGTCTGTCCAATGACGTGGAAATGAAAGCCAGGTGCTCTGGCTAACAAGACTGCCCTGTGCACTTTGAACAAAGAACCACCAACAGAAAGAACAGTGTCTGTGTGGATTTCTTCCCTTAAGAGCCTGTTGGGGAAAAGGGTTATAGTTGGATTAGTGATGCTTACAATAGGTAACAGGTTTTGAAACAACCTCCATACTTAGAAATACATAAGTAACGGAATAATAGAGGCCAAACGAGCTGGCTCAGAAGGAAAAGGTGCTCATCATGTGAGGCTGGTGACTCAACTTCCTGAAACTCACACAAAGGTAGGAGAAACCAACTTTACAGAAATAATTATAGAAAAACTGAGTTTGTTTGAGTTCATATTAAAGAACACTACACTTAATATTGGTTTTGACTCTGATTTTCTAAAAACCTATAGTCAAAACAAAGAGGATTTCACTAAAAGATAAAAAATATTTTCTTAATTCTACTAATAAATCTTATTTCCTGCTACTGTCCTGGCTAGTTTTATATCAACTTGACACAAGCTAAAGTCATCTAAAAGAAGAAACCTCAATTGAGAAGATCCATCTGAGAGGCATTTTCTTAATTAGAGATTGATGGGGGAGAGCCCAGCACATGGTGGGTGATGCCATCCATTCCTGTGCTGGTGGTCCTGCTTCTTTAAGAAAGCAGTCTGAGCGAGCCATGGGGAACAAGCCAGTAAGCAGCACCCTTCCATGGCCTCTGCATCAGCTCCTGCCTCCAGGTTCCTGTCTTATTTGAGTTCCTGTTCTAACTTCTTTCAGTGAGACTACAATGTGGAAATGTAAGCCAAATAAACCTTTTCCTCCCTAAGTTGCTTTGTTTCATAGTGTTTCAATGCAGTAATAAAACCCTAAGACAGATACTTACATTGATTTTCCTTTAAAATGTACCTTCTTGAGTTTTATAATAGAAACACAGAGCAGAAAGTTAACTTAGCTTCTGACTATTAATGAATCAATTGTTCAAAAATCATACTAAAACCGAACCAAAATGTATAAAGTCAATACCAAGAAACAAGACATAACAATAGATAATTCAGGTTAGAAACTATTACACTTTTGTTAATTACCAAGTCTGAAATGCAGCCTTGGATGTCAAGAATGTGACATTTATGCCCTTTCCCATCCCCACCACAGAATTAATCATGCTCTAATCATTACTCAGGAGATAAACCCACTTGAATCTCTAGTGTGCATATGTAGTTATGGCAAAGCCCACTGATTTCATGTATATGTAAACTGAAACAGAAAATAGCAGAAAATGTCATAATCTATTCATCTGCCTCTTTTTTTACTATGTATTTCTGCTCTCTACATATGTAAAATACTTTGTTTTACTATGCCAAATCACCGATATCATCAAGGTATGGGTTCTCAGAGGATTTCTGTATTGCAGGATATAATTGGCAATCACACCCACGCACCACAGGAGGATCATGGACTAGGTAAAGATATCCATTACAGTGAAAGCTTGGAAAGCAGCCAATGACACTCAAGGTCCCCTAAGACCAGGCTAATGGCTCCTTCCCCAATCCCATGACACCAGGTCCACGCCTCTATTACAGCACTTCTGTCATTGCATCATCATTATTTTTATGCATCTCTCCCCACTAGGTAATGAATTCCCAAAGGGCAAGAACTGCACGTCATTAGTCCACAGAACGAGCTCAGTATCTGCTTGTCCACAGATCCCATTTTACTAAAGAAAACAAACGCCTCAGAGCACAGACGCTTTGCAAACTTCACAAACATGTTTTAGCTTAGTCAGTTTTTTTCCCACAGATTATTTTCAAAGGTAACTAGCTTAAAGTTATACAGAGTGTGTTGTGCTGGCCACATGGATACACAGACTTCCTACTCTAGAGGCCCACACTGAGCCAAGTCTTCTCATGTGGCAAGTTCCCAGGAGATGAAGAGTCTGATCATTTAGGTAACTTACAGAAGAACCCTCTTATCCTCACAAATATATTAAAAGCCCACTCCATAATGCACAGCACCAAACCTGGATATTTTCTCCAGACATACATACCTGCTGTAAGGTTTGATTTATATATTAGGCATATTACTTACTGATAAAATAGAATGCATACAATAATATACTACAATCAAACTTATTCAAAGTTTAACAACAGAAGTGTTTTTTCAAATTTTATGTGAAAACTCAAATTATACACTAAATTTGTTCCTCTCTCCTTCCCAGCTTCCCTAATGACCCTAGCCCCCCTCTAATGTGAATAAGGAAGCAACATCAGTAAACATCAGTAAAACTGAGTGTTTACTGGCTCACCCAGAACTAAAAGCTAGAGGAAAAGCAGACTGGGACAAATGCCCAGCTTATTTCCATCTTTCTCTTTACTGATCTGACCTGCCACAGTCTACTTTATATTGCTGTGACAGTATACCACAGACAAGACATTTACAACAAACAGGTTTATTGGCTCATAGTTCCAGAGGCTAGTAACTTCTGATCTCAAGATACTAATATCTGGTGAGGTCCTCCACGCTTCATCATCACAAGGTAGAAGGCAAGAAGGCAAGCGAGACCAAAGAGGGCCAACGTGGGTGCACCCATCCACACGGGTCAAGGTTGATGTCAAGTCTCTTCCTCAATGGCTCTCTACACTTTGAGACAGATGGTCCCCTGAACCAGAGGCTGGCTCACTCTGAGGTTACAGTGTGTGACACCATGTCCAGCATTTTTACGTAGGTTCTGGGATACTGAACTCCTCATCTTCATGTCTGAATGGCAAGCACTTTATGGTTGAGCCACCTCCCCAGTCCCAAATTCACTCTTTAATAAGGGACCCAGTTTCACCCCCAAGAATGGAACCTTCAAGGCCTAATCACCATTTAAGGACCTACTGCTCCAATGATAGTTAAATTTCAACTTGTATTTTGGAGAGGACAAATATTCAAATCAGAGCATAACCTATATAAAGCATTTCGGACTCCTATTAAAGTTTAGTTACTACTAAACATTTTGTAAGTATGAACTGTGTAACAAGAACATAAAGACAACTGAAAGACTAAAACATAGTGCTTACCCCGTGGAGTTTTAAGTATAGAAGAGAAAACCAGGTCTGGAAATTGAAAGAACATGATACATCCAAAAGCAAGCAAACTCCCTGACCCCAATCCATCCACCCCAGACAAGACACCACACAAGACTGTATATGAGGTACTTTATTAAATGTGATCTTTAAAGACTTTGTAAGAGTTGGTCAGGAAAGCAAAGCAGGAGGGGGTTTCTGGCTTTGTTCTTTACAACGTAAGTACAAATGATCCACAGGGTACTTAGGGATGGTACACAGCAAGGGGGTTTAAAGGCAAAAACACACCCTGGAGTCTCACTCTGCATCTGCAGACATGGAGGAGAAGAAGAGGAGAGGAGACCCCACTCCTGGAGCAGAGTCAACTGCTTGAAATCCACCTTTTAGTGATCAGTCATTCGTTGGGCAGAGCGGGACTTGAAGTGAGGACGCAAACTCCTTTACAGTACAAACATGACCCCAGGAGCACGAGCCAGGTGAGGGTCAGTGGCGGCAGAGGATGAATTTAAAACGTAGGTAATAAAACCCGAGTTGACTGGACATAGAAGTGACAGTGGAAAATCTCTGGTTTGGATAACTGGATGCCGGTGACGCCACCGACCTTTAATCTGTAGTTGCTTGCCCTGTTTCTCTCGTCAGCTCATCTCTTCAGATGCATCTCTACTTGTCTTCCTGAATATGCATGACACAGTCAGTTGTCTTAGGTTTGGAGCCTCTGCACACTGTCTTCTTTCTCAGCCGGCCCACCTGTGTTCAGTCAACAACCCTGTTAACCCTCCATTCCCACTGTCAGTATGGCATCCCCAACTACCACAAAATCTCGTAGCTGACTTGTTTCTGACTTCTCTTTTTCTCAAAGTCAAGATCTAGATGTTAATTCTGATTTTTTTTAGAAACACCAATAGCTCTACAAACTACCTGCAGAGTCTACCCCAAACATTTAAGTAGAGAAAGCTACTATCTACAGTTTTAGTCTGTCTGTTTATCCTCACATGCTGCTGTTTTGTCTGCCATGACCACAGACATCTTCCAGATAAAACAGTCTGTCTTAGTGAGAGTTACTGTTGCTGTGATGAAACACCATGAACAAAGCAACATGGGGAGGAAAGGGTTTATTTGGCTTCCACGTCCATAGTGTCGTCCATCACTGAAGGGAGTGAGGACAGGAACTCAAACAGGGCAGGAACTTGAAGGCAGGAGCTGATGCGGAAGCCATGGAGGGGTGCTCCTTCCTGTGTTGCTCAGTCTGCTTACCATGGCCTGGGCCCTCCCCCATCAATCTCTAATTAAGAAAATGCCTAGTATGGATCCTATGGAGGCATCTTCTCAGTTGAGGTTTCTTTCAGATGACTCTAGCTTGTGTCAAATTGACATAAAACTAGCCAGGACACAGTCAAATCTACTTATATGACCCTGGTTTTTGCCATATATCCCAACACCTCTATCTCATCTGAACTGGGCTGCATACTAAGGCGTTAGCTTAATACCTTATTTAAGCAAGGTAACTTCTGCAAGACAGTCTATGATAATCTGGGGACCAAGTGGTAGCTCTCCAAGAGTGCGCACCCTTCCCTGCTCCAGGGAAGGAGTGGTCGTGAGACGACACACGTGTCCTCCCCAGGAGCCCACCCTCAGTGCAGCATGAAGGCAGAGCTTCCTCCATCTTGTATCCTTGCTGAAGCCATTTCAGGTTTAACTAGAATTTGATCTCCTCAGCAGAAAATCACATGAAAAGTTACCCAGCTCCAGTGTAGGAACCTGAAGTCAAGGCGGCCCAGCTAACATAGCCTCTGTTAAACTGTGCAAACCTCCCCTGCAGCTAACCTCTGTTACAGTGATTGCTTGTGGGGGAACTCCCCCTGCAGCTGCAGGTTTTGCCTTTAAGAGCCCCTTGCTATAAATGCTCAGGACGACACTTAGATCCCTGAATACCTAAGTGTAGTCCCAGCTCACAGTAATAGTTTCCATTGGCTATAAACTGAGTGGTCATCTCTGGTGGGCAGGCTCCCCATAACAGCAGAAAGCAGCTTTCCTGCTTTTCTGAGTCCAAATTCATTAACTTTTCCTGCTTCCTAACCTTTTTTTTAGACACTGGCCTAGACACTCCAGGCTTCCTCACTCTTCTTTGGAAAGACCCCACACATCTCTTGGTACTTGTCTTCCGCTTGGGGGCCCGACAGCTCTCTCAGACCCAGGCACCTGACTAGATTTACAGCTTGCCTATGAGTCTGTTTTTAAATTATTTTATTAACGAGACTATAAATCCAAAGAAGAGAAGGTTGGTTTTCTTGGTAACATATAGATCCCAAAAAACAAACAAAAAAACAAAAGAGAGATTTGTAGAACAGGGGTCAGAGAAATAATGGTTCAGAGGTTAGAAGTACATACTGGTTTTGCAGAGGATCTGCGTTTGGTTCCCTTCACCCACATCGTTATAGAAATAAGCCTTCCCACTGAGAAATCACTCTCCACGCTTCGCATGTGTCTGGCTATGGCTAATTAATGCCCAAGGCAGAGCTGGCCTCGAACAGATTTTACTAATGTGTACACACCTCAGACTAAGGCATTTCACAGTCGCTGTCATCCTTAAATCCCCGGGTTGCACTCTGAACAATTTAAACAGAGACAAGAGACTGCAAGTTTGGCCACTTGGGCAGACTAGGCGTTTGCACAGCAAAGATAGTGCCAGAATTATTTTAAATACACCAGTGGAGTTCTTTTAGCATAGCTGTTACCCAGGGTTATTTTTCCCACTTGGCATTGTTTTCCTGACAGAAGCGAGGGGAGGGGGAATGGGGATGGGGAGGAGGACCCGTAATGGCAGACTAGGAGTTAGTGGTCGCTGTGACCCTGCGCGGGCCCCTGTTAGAGGCATGTTGTCCTGTCCTTCGTTCCAAGTGAACACTCGTTTTCCTAATCGCATCCTTTTCTCACAACTTTTTAAGGACACGGTTTACGTTCCAGGGCCTGGACGCCGTTCGACCTCAACAAGAGCCCCCTGCCCGTGTGTAAATCTTCGGGCACGAACCGGCGGCGCGGCTGCGCATCCCTGTGGTTGGAATGTCTGTCCTCCTTCTGAATGCGGTGTGTGGGGTCTGCAGCGCTGACACTGGTCCCTTGGGTCGGGCAGAGCCGCTCGGGGAGATGGGGCGCCGGGCGAGCGCCCCACAGGTGCCTCGGCACCAGAGCGAGGCGGGGAGGGAGGGAGGGAGGGAGGGAGCTGCGCCGCTCCCGCCTCCTACCTGAGCACGTCGCGGCTGAGCTGCTCCGACACCACCGCCTTCAGCCGGCGCCGCTCCCCGGGCCCCTTCCGGGGCGGCCCCTTCCTGCCAGGGCCCGGGGACCTCAGA